CAACGGAGAGTTAGGATGAGTCCCACCCCCACCAACGGAGATTTAGGATGAGTCAGCCGCTCGCCTTTTTTGCAAGCAAGATTTGTGTTGTTTCCAGCAAGCTTCCATTTTGGAACACAAACATTTTGGAACGCAAACCACAATTTGGTTTTGCATCAGGGACACTCTAGTGGCCAGCAGTTCAGACTCATGGAGTCTCCGTTTCTTCGTTCGGGCGTGGCTGCCGCAGCAGCCGCTTTGAGCCTGAGACCTCATCGAGATCACTGTGGTGCCCACACACCCCACACACCTGTGAAGAACGACGAAGACAAAGTGAAGGTGAAGGCTGAAGAAGACTCTTGAAGTCTTGTGTATGTTTTTTACTTTGTGAATTGCAAGGGTTTGTGTTTGGACATGTTTGGGTCTGGCCCTATGTTCAGCTCTGAGGCCAAGAAAGAACATGAGGCCTCCGCCAAAAGGCGCAAGACGGAGTGGCAGTCAGGTTTAGCAAATCTTCCTGGTGATGTCACGTTGGTGAAGGACCAAGGTTTTTACAATCCAAACATTGCAGTTTATTTTAAACAAATAATCTGAAATGCCCTGTGAGGACATCTTGGACTACTTGGCGATGTTTGCAGACACGACAGAAGCTTCGACCAATGTCCGCAAGTGTCATCCAGTGGATCTGGTCCTCGAAGCTTTTAAGGATGAGGAGACAACCAAGATTACACATGAACGCTTGAAAGTCTTTCTAGAGGAGGTGCTTAAGGTGCATGGACGGAAATTGGAGCAAGCGCATTCTCCGGTACCTTGCCTCGGGAATTTGTACTGGTTCATAGTTTCTGTTGAGTGTGGTTGATGTTTAAAAGTTCAACCAGGTGTCTCCCACATACTGGACCAAATGTTCATGAGGATGTCAGTGCTGTGAAGAATGGAGAACAAAGCCATCTCAGAACATCCGTTCCCCTGGATGCAATTCGTTTGTCTGTGCCACCTGACGGCCTACCATGCATCACCGACTACATCACAACCACAATTTCGTTCATATTCAATGGGTCCCGTCTTCATAGGGAACCGCTGGATTTGGATGTCAGGGGTGCCCAGGATCAGTTCAGCATCAAGAAAGGGTTCACGAGGTTGATGCTTAGCTTTGCTGACAGTTTTTGTTGCATTTTTTTTCAACTTTGTTTGATTGGTAGTAGGGATTTGCAATGTTCCAAGGACTTCAGCTTTGCTGGTCCTTCTCATTGCAGCAGACCTGCACCCAATTGCTGCCAAGGACATCAGCCCCAAAGTTTAAAGGAATTGTTTGTTCTCAGGCAGAAACAATGATTTGTTTTTGTTTAAGAGCGAGGACGTCCTTCTCCCACTCCTGCCAGTGTTTCATGAGATGTATGCTCTTCCATCGTCGGTCGCATCAAGCACAGATGGCGAAATGCTATCGTTCGAAAGCATACAATTAAGTACGCAGGGTGCTGAGCGACAAAGAAAAGACGTGGTTTTGGCTTTGATTAACATTTTGGACAGTGTACATCTTTTTTCTGTGTATGCTCACCTTTTCTTGTGTGACTCATTATCCAGCCAAGATTATGAAACTTGCACTGCGCTTTGAACTTCTGATGCGTGAGCGCCGTTGCCAACCAGATTCAGAGAATCTCAATGATGGTGAGCTGCTCCAAGAAGTCATCAACCGCTACAACAACTACAAAGCCAACAAGGCCATCAAGAAGTGGCAAATATCGCCTGACCAGCAAGCTGCTATACAAGTCATAATTTGTGGCATGAGCCAAGTGGCCCGTGATCTGATTCGCTCTCACTTGGATTGGAACAAGTGGGAGACTAGTGGCAACTTGCTTGAATTAATGGACAAATAATTTGTTTGGTCCTACCTGTTACCTGTCCATTTTGTTTTACACATATCTGGTGTTGCTTGGCACATTGTATCCAGGCTACAACGAAAGCATCCTCCGTTCAAAGCGCCACCAACTCCATGAGGGCCCGAAAGGAGCTACCGGCTTGTGGCAGCAAGTCTTGACAGACACTCCTTTGTCAGAATATAGTGTCCATGCAACCTTTTCCCTTTTTCCTGTTGTTTTGATCTTGAAGTTACATAAGTGCCTTTGGTTTCTGTTCAATACTGTGTTGAGGTAAGTGAAGAGAGTCAAGCATTGCATTTCAAACGCTACAACCACTGGTGGTCGTTGCATGCTCGCACGCAGAAAGTTACAATGCGGAATCGACTTCGGTGGGGTGAGGAATTGTGGAGCCGGTCAGTGGAACACGCATGTATAGCGACTTGGGTTGTCCATGAATGCCAGAAGGACCCGAATGCACCACATCTGCACATTGCAAAACCTGTAGTTTTTTTCCAGATAGTTACCTCGAAACCAATTTTTTTTCCTCGAAGCCACAGCAAGGTAAGTCAAGACATGATCGACAACATGCTGACAGCCTTTATGAACGGGACCTTTGAATTGTATCCAGTTTTTATTGTTTGTTTTGTCCTTTATACTTTACATAACTTTTTCTTTGGTGGGAAACTCAATATCTAAGGGATTACACACAGGATTTGGACGCGTTGATCATGGCAAAACCCGAACTCAGTGTGCAAAAGGTTGCGATGTGGCAAGACTACATTGGCAAGGAGCTCGTGAAGCATGCAGCAGGTGGCACCAGCATGTCAGCAGCAGACCAAGACTCCGAAGTATTGGATGCAGAGGATATTCCAATTAAGGGTTAGCATGTTTGTTTTGATTGTAATTTTAAACTAACCGTGACCATTAAGCAAAGACCATCCCAACATCACTCACCACATTCCAGGAGGCTCTACAAGTGGCTACCTATGCTGTGACTTGTGCCAACTTGAGCCAACTTGAGCCATGATTACAAGGAAGGAGTTAACTTCTGCTTGAGACAAAGCAAGGCAGGGTTTATCAATTCCAAATGTTCAAAAAAAAGTAAACATTGTATGCCACACACAACAAGTTGACCTTCAACCTTACAGGCGGATGGCAACAAACACGTGGCCAAAGTGATCCACCTGAAGGAACAAATCGATTTGGGCTTGAGATTGGCTGATCAGATGATGGAGCGTCGCTGCCTCATGGTCACCACAGACTCAAGAGCGCAGCCTTTGGCCACAATGGTTCGCAGGGTTATCAGCGATGGCGCTACAAAGATGGGGGATGTGGACCTTGCCCGGATGCACCATGTCGGTTTCTGCGACCTCAGCAAGTATGGGAGGCTCACAGCTTTGGCCATTGAGGACACTGCTCGGTCGTGCAAAAGAGTTCTCGAGTTGAATTCTGATTTCAGCAACTTGGAACAACAGTATATTATGTTTACTGTATATGCAATGGTTTGTTATATAAGTTTTTACAGACAAACTTTACCTGTTGCTAGGCATGGTCCTCATGACAGGGCCAATATTGGCCAGCGAAAGCGTCCTCAATGGCCTACGTGGCGAGTACCGGCGCATTGAAGACAAGTTCTTGTCAATGGGCATGGAGATGAAATCGATCCAGATAATGATCGACATCTCATCCCAACATGGGAACCGGACATGATGACAGGGTAAACATTGTTTAATGTTAGTGTGTTTGCTTTGTTGTACCACAGACAAGCACACACACTACACACTCCCAGAGGAATTTGCCAGCGTTGCTTCCTGGGTGGATGATCGTGCTTGAGACCACCCTTGGCTGCAAGCAAGGAACACTTTACAAGGTGCCAAGGAATGCTGAGAAGGAGAAGCAGGACACGAATGTCTTTACAAAGAACATGTTCTGGACCACAGGATGCTGCAAATCATCAGTTCCTTTGAATCCCAGTCACATGATTGTGTCAAACATCCTTTTCTTGTTCCTTGGGACTTTGGGGACACATCCTTTGTCAAAGCAGAGTTTGTTGAAATACTTTGTCATCAAATTCAGGTGATTACGTCACCCCTGAATCTGGCACCTTCCTGAGCCATGAGACTGGCCGCTCTCTGACTGAAGTCCAGCTGCAATCAGTCGGTGTTTATTTGTTGTGTTTGTGTGGGATGGTCCTCAACAATTGAGTTCACAAATTGTTTGACAAACAAGGACAAAGAAGAGACAGCCCAATGGTTGGCCAGTCCTGGGACATGCAAATCAATCTTGGAGGCTTGCCTTTCGAGGGTATCCTCCCTGAAAGGCCAAACGATCTTGGTGCACCACCTGACCATGTATGATGGGACTTGGGAGAAGGTGGTTTGTGAGATGATGCATGAGTTGGCGGACGTGTGCCACATGGCGTCCTACTCGGAGACCGACTCACCTGCCATCTTCCAGTTCGCCGTGGGTGGGGTCAAAGACAAACTTCTAGAGGATGAAAGGGGTGGGGAGGGGGGCGAAACAAACCCATTGTCAACGGTACAATGTTCCAAACACACACTCACACACACTTATGACAATTCGCTTTTGATAAGTGACTTTGGCATACCCTGCTAGGATTGGAAACAATCCCGAGGAATCATGTCTGGCACGACGCAAAAGTACAACCCGGACGCGGACCTATCCAACATCCACCAGCCCAAGCCACCTACGCTGAAGATGCGCACAATGACCGCGGGTGGGGGCATTTAACTATTCCAGAGCAAGAACGGAAGAAGTGGCTGAGTGACCCTGTGAGGAGTAGCTTGAAGTGTTGTAGTTGCAATTTTTGTGGTTTGATAGTTTTGTTAGAACACCTTTCAATTTGCAATGTTTTTGCCACATGAAACTACACTGAGATGCAGATTGGCGAGTTCGCTTGAAAAACTTCGATGCAGTTTTCGAGCCTGTTCCACAACCTGAAAGAGCACCAACACCACAAGATGAGAACAAGGACTTGTCAGTGGAGCAGCCCCAGGTTGATGCTGTGACATCCAGTGCGCAGGTACCACCTTCTCTCTCGCCAGATGAGTTCAAGCAAAAGTTTCCTGAGGTGACTGCCAGTGTCACGATCAACATGGGACAAAACATCGTGTGTCATTGCGCGCAGAACAAGATCTTCATCTCTAGTGCTTCCAGGTTCCTCCTGGCAGGACTGGACGCAGCCAGCCCAAAGGCATTGTTTGTCTATGCTGGCGGATCATGGATAAGCGACTCACCGAAGGCCCAGGGTGACCAAAATTTGTGTTTGTTTACTTTGAAACAATCTTTGTTTCAGGCAAAGGACTACATGTCAAAAGCTGCCAACGAATCCAAAGCGGTGGCTTTTGAACTGGCAAATGCAGATTCTACAGCCCCTTCACTTTTCAGAACACCTTTTAAACTTGTGAAGTTCTATTTTGTTTTATTTATCAAATATTTATATATATTTATATACAGTATCCATATTAAATATTGCTTTTCTGAGAGGTGCTACTTGAAGAGACCAGTGCTGGGGGTGCAGCTTCGGATTCCTTTCCGATGTCACTGTACAAGCTGTTGAAGACCATAGAGGAACGTGGAGTGGTGGATTACACGGTGACACAAGGTCATGAGGCCTGGATCAGTGCAGCGTGGAGAGACACCTGACACCTTCACCATTACCCACGAGTCGCACTCCGTGTTCCGACCAAACCCAGTGGCTGTCAAGAATGTGAAAGGGTCCAACGTGGCAGGGTATTTGGGGACCAAAGCATTGTCATCCTCGAAGTTCCTCAAATGTGTGTGGCGTCCTTTGGCTGATGAGAATGTTTTTGGACATGAACTTACCATAGTCACATAGTCTTTTCCATTCGCTATTTTTGGGAGCATCGATCTTCTCAGAGGTATGAGGCACTATGCTCGCGAGAAGGTCATCGGACCTGCAAAGCCGCTGTGGTTTTTGGCCAGCAGCTTCACCATGGAGCCGAACATCGTCTATGAGCTGGCCTGATCTTAGAGTCTCTGAGTCTTCCATTTGTTCAATGTTTTGCGAGGCTGAGTGAAGGGTACTCAGTTGTCAAGACAAATGGTCCCTGGAAGAGAAAATTGTTTGATGTGTGTTGTATTTTTGTTTGACTGACCTGTCAATGTGGCCAAAGAGTGTGATTGCAAACGGTAGCTCAACATATCACAACATATGTCTTTGTTGCCCAAGCCCTTTGTGTGTAGTGTTGTGCGCTTCTACACTTGGACGTGCTTCGCCATGTCTCTTGCACGGGCCAACAGTGTGGTGCTGGACGTTGATGAATCCGCGGTTGATCAGCAGATCATCGGCAAACACATGCGTGAGATTTGTCAATCCTCCTCTGCAAGCATTCCTTTGAAGACAGAGGATGCCCCACGGTCCAAGTTGGTTGCTATCCATCCACCGAAGGAACATGATGCCGTTTGTTTCAAGGCCAGCGCTTCCTTGCAAAAGTTCACGCTCCGTGCTGAGCCAGTTCCTGCCAACTGTTTGCACTTGGTTTTATGTTTGCGCCCATGTTGCATTTTTGAACAACTTGTGCATTTCATTAGATAATTTGTAGACACATGGTTCCATAAGGCAGTGCCACATCATGTGGCCCGTCCTCTTGCTGGCAACACGGAGCGTGTGGCAAAGTGCTTGTTCCCTGAACCCCAACAAGAGGCAGAACAGCAATGGCAAGAATACCAATTCTACAACCCCAATGCTGACCTCACCGACAGCCAGATTCCTTTTGACCCAGCTGATGACTCCCAGGACATGGCAGACAAGACCCCAATGGAGACTGGTGAATTCCAGGGCATGGCAGACAAGACCTTCATGGAGACCGGTGATTTCCAGGACATGGCAGACAAGACCCCCATGGAAACACCTTCAAAAAAGGACCATGCAGTTGAATACAAGTGTGTTTTCGACCCAATGAAGTTGAGGGAAGCAAAGAAGGCGAGGGAGCGGCGTTGGGATGGTTCCAATGGCTTTGTGGATGGCTATTTCTCCATCGATTCCCCTGTTGAGGATTCTTAGGCATAATTTGTGGAAACATGTTTTGGATATGTTTATCTCATGAAATTAGGCACAATTTCAATCAGACACATTCCAAGGAACCTCAAGTTCCTGCCAATGTTCCTTCTGCAGATCAGCATGGTGATTCTGCTGTTGTTGAAACCCAGGTAACTTGGTGCTTCAACTTATAAATCCAACCATTGCATCCAATTTGCTATCAATTTTATTTTTGAGTCATCGTTGGAGGTTCCTGCAACAGATGCTGAGCTTGTGAACCTTGAGGGTGCAAAGGTGTCGGAGAAACGCCTTGCTTCAACACTGAGTGCTGCTTCTGGAGAGGACAGCGGGTTGAACAGGATGAAACATTTGTTTAAATTTTGTTGGCCTGTTATATTCCTGTGGTCCCTGTGCAGGATTTGCCCGAACCCAACACGAAATCCCAGAAGCTTCGAGTGACCCCCGACATGACACCGAAGACCAAGGAGAAGGTACGTGAAGCACAACTTGACAAGAAACGTACATCGTCAAAGGAGTGGCATGCCAAATATGCAAGCAAAGGGGTCCCTTGTCGTTTTGATAGTGTAAAAACTCCAATGTGGTATCTTTGACCTTTTGTTCTTTGGGGTTTAAACCATATTTCACTTTTGAATACTTTTGAGTATATAGACTAATACATAATATAGACTTATTTCAAACCCATCAGGTTCCTCGGGGCACTTCTTCAAAGGGTGAGGATAAGCAGACTTCATCTACACCCATGCCGGACAAGAAGAACATGTCTGCAGCACACCATGCTCGGTGGGATTTTGCCACCTGGTTTCAACTTCAAATTGTTTTTTCAACCCCCAAAAGAAAACCACAAGTTTTGCTGGTTTAATTTGGGACTTAAGGTACGCGCGCACATGAAGGAACACCAGTCCGACATGAAGACCGCTAGCGCGGCATGGATGATTTCTTCCGAGCGAGCTGCATTAGCAGCCGGAAAGCTTGGCATTCAAATCTAGGGTGATTCTGTGGTGAATCATGTATTTGGGGATGGCACATAGACACGTGACCAACACGTGTTGAGTTGCCTCTAGTTCGAAACACCAAACGTGGACCGATGTGACTGGGAAAAAGATCTATGCGCTTTGCTGTGCACTGTTCTCTCATAAAACCATGTGCTTTTAACAGGGGTCTTGTGTGTTTTACTCTCCTTCCCCAAAATGCCTTTCCCAGCTCTGTGGTGATGTGATGTTGTTTCACAAACAAACCAAACGTTTTGTTTCATGCCAAAACAAAAACAAAACCTAGAGTTTCACAACACACTTGGAACAACTTGGAACCTGCGACTAAGCCTTGGCCTATCAAAGAAATAACTTCGAGCTGTCCCCACCAATTGCAGAAGTAACTGCAAGCGATCCCCACCACCATCATCAATCTTTTTCACATTGGCCTCAGAGTGGCCAGCCTACTAGTCATCTCTTCATAGCATGTGCACATGGTAGCGGAGCAGTGTAACCAGCTCTTTCTTTGACAGCTGATTGCTGTAAATTGACAGCTAGTTATCATGAAATTGACTTTTCAGGTGGAGCAGTTCTGGTCGATCGCCTCGTCGGTCGAGCGAAGCTTTTTCGAATCGACAGCTCATCAACTCGGATTCGGACAATGTGATCCGATGAGGGCACTGGCGTCTTCACCGGAAACCGCTCGGATGAAGCGGGCAGCTGCAATCCAGGATCTTTTTCAGAAACCCGTCAAAGCGCCCCGCAGGGCCTCAGGTCAGCCAGAACCTCAGTCGTCGAGCTCCCCACTGCTGGATCAAGAGAACGCCGAACACCATAAGTGGGCGGCGCGGCTTGAACAGATTGGCAGGAGAGCTGGATCATTCGCTCGCCTTTGGGAGGATCCTTCGACAGGTGAGGGGTTGTCCCCAGCTGAGAACGAGAAGCTCCGGCAGCTCGTTCTTACCGCCGGCGCGCCGCGAACGATGGCGATGTACGTGAGGGTGTGGGAACGCATGGAAACATGGCTCTCTTCTGTTAAGATCCCGGTGTTCCCCTTGTCAACCCCCAAGGTGGTGAAGTACATGATTTTTCTTGATGGTCAAGAGTGCGGTCCCACTGTGATTCCCACCCTTCGCTCGGCCATTAAGTGGGTTTGTGCACGGTTGGTCATTGAGTGCCCTTCCATTGATGATCCTTCTATCTTAGCTCTACAACAAGAGGTGATCACAAAACGGGCTGAGACCCTCCGTGAGGCGGTCCCCATCCCTACTACCGTAGTTGGGTGTATGGAGGAACTCGTCTGCGATCCAGACTGGCCCGAAGCCACAAGAATTTTCGTTTGGTGGTGGCTCTGCCTGATTTTCGCTTCGCTGCGTTTCGACGACGGAAAACACGTCAAACCGAAAGACCTCAGTATGCAAGATACTGGGTTATTTGGTCTGGCGTGGCAAACAAAAGTCGATCGCAAGCGGCGAGGAACTCGCTTTGCCATTCCTCACGTCGGGTTTCGGAAAGCTGACTGGCTCCGGGTTGGATGGGACCTGTTCAGGCAAGAGGAACAAGATCGTGATTTTTGGGTTCCAGAACTCAACAGTCGTTCGGTGTTTCTGTTTGTTCCCCCAACGCATCAACGATCGGTTCAGTGGTTGAAGGTCCTTGCCCGGGAAGCCCTCGAAAAGTTCCAAGGGGAGCGCGAGTCCGACGAGTGGCGCATGTGTGCTCGAGTGATCAATCAGCTCACTGCACACTCTGCACGCGTCACCCTCTTGGATGCTGCTGTTCATGCTGGTAGGTCCACCGAAGAGATTGGTCTGCAGGCTAACTGGAAGAACCCGGGCCCCCTTGTTCTTAAATACACTCGGAACCGATCTAGTGTACCGGCTCGTATGATTCAGCAGCTTGTTCATGAGCTGGTAGCTGAAGAGCACCCAGTCGGTGAGACGGTCGATACTGAGCTGGACGACGCCGGAGTCATTGAAGAGGCTCAAGCACAGTTTTTCATCAAGACCGCCTCTGGTTCCGGCTCGTATGAATATCGTTTCCATTGCTCAGCTTTAGACGACCCGTCCGCGATCGCGTGTGGAAAGCTGCCTCTCTCCGAGTGCTCTGCGATTGGTTCGGAGCTCCCGGATTTGTCAGTCTTGTGCAAAGCTTGCGCAAAGGCTCGGCCGGACATCACTCTGGCTTTTCAGAAAGCCAGCCCAGCATGACCCTGTCTTTTTCTCTGCTCAGGAAAACGTTAGGAGAGGGCGGGTCAGCGCCGGGCCGTGTCGCTAGGACTAAGGGAGTGCGTCGTCTGGTCATGAATCTCTTTTGATAATCTATCCACATTTAAGCTCGAATTTTTCCAACCTGATCTTTTAGCGAGAAGCCATGGTCGATCGAACTACGTACGACTCAGCACGTACCCCGGATCTGCCATTACGGCAAGTCTTCGGCAGACAAAGGCTCCCGACCGACCTATGTCGGTTAGTGGCCGATCGGCGATTGCTCACAGTCGAGACTTTCGCTATGCTCGGAGACAACATAGCCGCAGTTAAGACAACCCTGCAGGCTTTGATCCCTGAT